TTGGCGGTGTAGTGCGGCGCGGGAAGCGAGAGGCTGGCATAGTGGACCGAGTATGGCAGAGCGACGTAGACATTCTGCGTGAGTTCAGGAGGATCGGGTGTGTGAGTGCCAACACCACTCTCGGAGTTGGGCAATTCTGTGATAAAGAACTCGAGGTGCTTACAAGCCTCCGCTAAGTCACCTTCCTCTCCGTGGAGACTGAACCTAAAAGCGAAACAGCACAGTTGGAATCGACCGCGTTATCGAAGTTCCTCGCAAATTCCAAAAAAAGAAGGCGAAGAATAACTAACCTGAGTCGGTTGGACTTGAGGGCGTGGTCAGCAATCGCCTTCATCTTGTCGATGAAGTCGTCGAACGCTCGACTACGCTCGACCTCGTCCGGATTGGTCAGGAGTTTGGCAAGACGACGCATGAACGCGGCCTGCTCAATGCCAGACCACAGCTCCGACATGCGACCAGTGGAGCAGAGGTTCGCTGAGGCCCGACGCATCGCAAACCGGTGGGCTGGGAGGAAGCGAAGCGAGGTTGCGTCAACATAATCACATCCACGCTGATTCAACCAATAGGCACTTAATACGCCGACTACGCAATCGATGGACGCAATTCAAAAAGGCGTTCACCAGTACTGTTAAATGTCTATGAAATTATAGCATAAGAATTGGCAGTCACAGCAGCTCTATCGATAAGTGTTGCGACGAAAAGAGAGGTGCATAGGCTACACTCAGTTAAAGCAACCGTTTACCAAACACAGCCATGACAACATCAACGAGTCAGACAAGACAGAGTATGACCTCACCATCATGCGACAGTGAGTTGGCAGACCAGTCGCCAGCCGTCAGCATGTTCACCAGGGTCTGGATGCGCACACAGTCGAGCCAGTCGTTTGCACGCACACGTTTGGCGAGCAACTCGAACATCCGCGGCACCTTCTCCTCCAGACAGTAGGCGGACAGGTGGAGATGGCGCGCACATGGCGCCTTCAGGTCCTCGGCCAGACCAGAGGTGGCGTGTGGCGTGGCGCACAGAGAGCCAGTGTTCAGCTCCTGCAGATGATCCATCTCCTGGTACGTCAGCCCGTCAGCTCCAAGTCTACAGCGTCCACACAACAACTCTTTACCCACTGCCTCACACCTCTACAACTCACTCACTACTTGCTAGCTCATACCATTGCTCACAACATGACTTTGGACACTGGCAGTGTACCTGTGTCCTGGGCTTACATTCCCGCATCGTCTCCGCAGCACCTCTGACGTCAGCCAATCTCAAACGCATCTCTACCTAAGCGGCCTTGACCAACGATTCTGTGACCGTATAGCTGCGCCAATGTGTCCACTTCCACATGTTGCAAGACAGTCAACACTCACAGCCATGCACATATTCTCGCAAACACAGCTAGGAGGCGATCCACCACGTCGAATTCACATGAACACAAGAGGCACTGCCAGTGCTTCACCACGACCTGTCTCACTGTCTCAACTCGCGACCACATAACCACCACGTCCTCACTCCAAACAAGACGCGGTTCGGTGGAAGACGTGGAACAACCTGAACACATCAACCTGATGTGCCTGAAAG